AACTCTATTTTTTTTTTTTTTTTTTTTTGACTGACACATAAAAAAAAATGCTTCACAATTGCTTTTTCCCAACTGTCATTAATAGAAACTATGTTTTAAATTAAATTTACATTTAACTATTTATTTGCAGTCTGGAGCCCTGAAAACGCAGAAATTATATACTAAAATTTGTCTTGCCTAGCAACTGAAGCACAATACTTTATATCTTAAACGACACATGAGGGTCATGGATTTTGTTCTTGTTCCCTTACATTGCTTACATTTTCAACTTTCAGCCAGTGACAAATAAACCTTTACTCTATTGCTTGCCGAGCTATTTCTGGCATTGTCTCGGTGCCATTCATAATGTTATCCATGTATCAGTCAGGCCCCTGTGGAGGGGTGTGTGCCACTTTACAGCATGTTTTCTATGGGAGGTACATGCCTGTGGCAGTGCTAATAGGATGTGCCTGCTAGACCCACAGAGGACCAGCAGCGCTGACCAGAGTCAGCAATGACTAGTGAGTCCAGCTCTGATGGACAGGAAATGCCTGGATCGACTCCAGACATTCTGTGGACTCCAAGCCAATAAGTGTTCCCCTTTTAAAGGGACAGCACTTTCTCTGCGTACAGTGTGATGCCATCATTAGCACTGTGGCATACTGTACCATAACTGTTGCGAGCGAACACTTAAAGACAGGTCTTGATTTTGTGGAACAGCCTCTAGTTGCCCTCAGAGCTGTATAAACTCCTAGCCTCTCACCTTTTATCAGGGTTGCCATAGCTCTGTCCCAGAGGGGCTATTTCTTACACTGCCCGGGACACCCTGTCCACCTCTTATCTACCCAAACCACCTGCAGACTGTAATTCTTTGTTTTTTCCTCTTCCGTGGTCTGTGGCATTTGCCCTTAAGCGCTAGTGGGAGTGATAGTAACTAAAATGAACTTTACGCTGACTGATCTGCTCAACTAATCTTGTTCTCAGCATTATGAGCACTTCATAAATCATACAACTCAATCTGTGGGGACTGTCACTTAGTTTGCTAGCCTCAAATAACTAATGCACAAAAATCGAATTAAAGAGCTCAAGTTTCGAGGTCCCACAGCTTTGGGACTTTCCAGCTGTCAGATGTGGCGTCACTTACAAATACCTAGCTTCCTGTAAACATGTGTTTTTAACTAAAGTGAGAGCTGTGGTTACAAATGAAGGAACAGATTTGCTAGCCTAACTTGTTCAGAGTCTGTTGAATGTTTGTATCAGAGCCTCCAGTTTCAGCCACTAGAGGCCTCTGTGTCCTTAGAACATTTGCTTCTCCTGCAAACCAACAGCCATTCATACATAATTTAGGTCAATTTACAATAAATGTAAATAGATACATGTACTTTATTTACAATTTGAGACATTTTATAACATTGTCTCAATGTTAGACAACCATATAGACACAAATAAGCAAACCTGAACAATGACTGACAATACTTAAGATGTACTGTGGACTAGGCTGTGAATTCCAGGGTTGTGCGCCACTTAGAACTAAACTGACAATTAAATACATTTGAATTGAGGTAAAAATCAGAATGCAGATTTGTAAGGAATTGAATAAAAAATTAACTAAACTGAAAAGAAAAAGGACCTTTGAATTATGGCATGACAAAGCCTTGTCTGAAAGTTTAAAAAGTCTTGAAGTTTAAAGGTATGTGTTATAAAAAAAGTTACAAAAAAAGTAGTTGATATAGTGATTATATCCCCACCTCCACCCCACATTAACCATTTAATTCAGTAAACTCCACTTCCTGTAATTTAGCAATTTGTTCTGTACTTGTGTACAATTCATTCAACTTCAGACAGAAATGAAAGGAATTCAATTCATACATTCTGAAGCTGGGTAAATGTGAGATTTCTGTCCTCTATAATAAATGTGAACTTAAACATTACTTTTTTTCAAAAATGTTTTTGATGATTACATAGTATAAGAGCACAAACATCAGTATTTACACCACTGTTCAAAATGTTGTGGTCGGTAAGATTTTGTAATGTTTTAGAAAGAAGTCTCATATGCTCACTAAGGCTGCATTTACCTGATCAAAACACACACACACACACACAAGTAACAATAACTCTGTGAAATATATGAAATTACAAGTTTTATATTTTAATCTATTTTAAAATGATTTGCTGCTCAGGAAACATTATTATCAAACACTATTATGTTGATAGATAAACAGTTGCGCTGCTTAATATGAAAAACATTTTTCAGGATTCTTTAATGAATAGAAATAAAAAAGCAGCATTTGTTTGAAATAGAAATATTTATATATTTAATGCACCCTTGAAATGAAATCTTACTGACCTCAAACTTTTGAATGTTAGTGTATATTCCCAGAAGAGACTCACCTTGTGGCCTTCCAGTGTGTAGAGCTTCCTGATGAGACACTGCATGAGTTCAGAGACCTCGTCCATGAAGAGCACCAGACTACGCAGGCTCCTGCGGTGCAGCACGATGGTCCTCCGGACAGAGGGGTCACTGTTTTTCACAAGCACAATCTTCCTGGAGTGCCAGTGATGGTGGTGGTGACCTTCAACCTGTCCAGGAGCTTCCTCAGCTCGAGTGGGCCTCCTGATTGTATACTGCTGAGAGTGTGGATGTGTCTGGAAATGATACCATGGGTTTGAGTAAGCTCCTGAGGCCTCTGAGGCCATCGCCTTGGCCTGCTGGTGATCGGCACACAGATAGCATCCACGATCCTCCAGCGGCTCCAGTCTTGTTGAGCTGGATGGGCCTCTGAAGGACGCTGAGGAGCAGTGCCCATGGGGGAAAGGGGGCTTGGGAGATGGGTCGTCCATGATGGTGTCAAAGCATTGAACGCTTTGCTTGTGGGAGGCCATTTTAACTTCATCCAACGGCCTGTGGTAGATGTCAGCTGACTGTAGGTTTAATCAGATGATAAACATAGCAGGGCTATACTCTCTGGCCTAGCAGCTCACACTCATTCATCCTCTCCTTCCACTCTGTAAAAGACAAAAGCATAAAACACATGCCCAGTTTAATATCACCAACAATGCATTAAGTAATTCTGTGTCAAGCCCATTAGGATGTCAAGCCCAGGAAACATTATAACAATGATGCAAATTGGACAGAAATGCAACTGAATGGTTTAGGCCCATGAAACTAATTTGCAAGTATGCAGCTATGTAAGAATGTGGGCTGTATTGGGAATTTAAAATGTAATTTAAACCTGGAACAAAACATTTTTTCAGTTTTAAGTAAAAGTGCACTTTGGATCAAATGATCATCATGTTTGACAAACTTTTTTGGAGTTCTTACAGCTCTAGTTCTTATGTCATTAAAGTAAATACTTAAGAAATTCTGGAATTCATGTTGACTTCATTCAGCTATATCGTTTTCAAATAAATATATAATAAAATATCTAAAACAATATAGAAAAGAAAAATAGAAAAATATTTTTAAATGCTTTAAAAAATGCTAAATTCAAACATTTTCACTAGAAATAAGAAACTGTTTACATTTTAATGCACACTTGCAAATTGTGCATGCTGCATACTTTTCATATGTTATATGAAACAAATATAAGAGCACTGATAATAATAAGAATCGAACGCAAATGCAAACTCGTTTATGAGAATATTCATTGTGTAAAGACAGTCCTGATGAACCTGGGCATAAACTAATAAGCTTAAACAAGAGGATAAACTCACAAGCTTAAAAAAGACTGAATGCTTTTAACTCGATCCTGTTCTTAACGGGATTTAAAATTCTCTGTTAAGTGATCCAAACACAATACTGAAACATTTGCACTGTTATGAAATGTAGTGTTTTTAGATTACTAATTGATACTTTACATTTAAATTGAAATTTTTTTGTACCTGAACCTACTTTTCTACCACCTGTTCGACCAGAATCTCATTAAAGTCTTTTCTCAATCACTTCCTTGCCCAATCAAGCTTCTTTACATAAGACATGGTACCTTTAGAACTGAAATGGGCACAGAGTGCTTAATGCCCATTGCAACTATTAAAACTGAAAGTATCTGTAGAGTTGATGTTGAACCAAACTAAACAGGTACATCTGCCAGAATCCCACTGGCACATCATGACAGTATATTTGTGCCTGGCACACGCTACGGCTGAGGGAGCATTACGAAGTTCAAGACACAGAAATAATGGACAGATATCAGAGACTAAGCAGGGATAAAAAGAGCAGACTTCGCTTGAATTAGACTAAAGCGCTTATCTACAAGTGCAGGGAGAAAGTGGAAGAAACATGTGACATGATGATGCAGTGGAAGCCTATTGTTATTTTTGATTCAAGTACAAATGTGAAATTAAATATTACCAAGGCATGTGATTTAAGAAAACAAAGTTATGAAGTAAGAAACAGAAAGACTTGATTTGTTCAAAGAAAGGGTAAATCAGTGAAATCTAACACAAAACCAATAACATAGAACAATTTGGATTTCTAAACTGGATGTAGGAAAGATTGCTGAAAAAGAGGTTCTCTACCGACAGAAAAGGGAGTGCAACCAAAAATAAAAAAGTCATGTCGATGAGAAAAGGTGCAACACTCACTCTTGAGGAAATCCAACTTAAATTCTTGATCAGACATCTGATGAAGGCCTGGACAATGGCCGAAACGTCACATGTATTTTAACCAACAAAGTTGGATTTCTAAACTGGATGTAAGGTCAGTTAATGCATTGCCTTATATTCTGATCCAAATTTACTTTTTTTTTTTAAACTGGAAAAAAAAGACCATGATCTCTTAAAAAAAAAAGCCTCCCCAGTCAACAATTTGATCTCACAATGATGTCACCATGAGCTCAAATGATTCTCATGGG